TAAATCCATCTACATTCAAGTTTGATAAGATTCAAGAAATTCAGTCCAAAGTGTTTTTAAAAAAGGCTTTGAATGAAGACAAAATACTATAATGACAAAAACCACTTAGCTAGTCTGTCAGTCGGTCATTCATTTCTTCAGTCATTCACTTTCTCATTCATTCAGTCACTTAATTTTTCATTTTTTTCATTTCTTCCTCCTTTTATCACAGAATTCATTTAGTTTGTTGGCCGGTCATTTATCCAATCAATCACTCACTCATCCATCGATTCATTCTTTCATTTAATCTCTCACCCACTCATGCATTATTTCATGCATTAATTTGTGTTCTATTTCTCCTCTTTACGCATTTATTCACTCTCTTTCTCTTTCAGAAATTGTTTTCGGGTATTCTCACAACTATGAAGCTTGTGCTTGTTACTATGGTTGCCTTGCTGTCAATCACCTGGGTTAGCTCCTCCTTCTTGCGATCCAAGTTGACGCTTGACGACTTTAACGACGAGGAGCCTTGGGTAACTTTTGCACATCGATACTTTTTTCAGCTTGAACTGACAGTGAAAAATAACTGAAGCGGTATAGGTTACCATAGTTTAGTTTCATTCTTCGAAAGCTCACATTTCTCCTTTCTCCTTTAGTTCATTAGTCTCCTTCGCAGCCGTTGTTTGGGCTCGTCACGCAACACTCCCTCCCCCACCAAAGGCTGCGAAGGAGACTATTAATTCATAGACTTTGGTAAAATCGTAATAAGTTTCTTGCAAAGAAAGTCACCTTAATGAGCCACAATGATAATGCTTTTAAGAAGAAATATGCCCCAAAATGGAGCATTCATAAAATCTATACAGCGATTTCAGTGTCACCCGCGCTAATTTGTCGTCTATCAAAATACAGTCGTATAGTTGACGTTACATGAAAACTATTGGTTTTTTTTTTTAGTGCAGCATGGCGCTCTGTCGCCTTACCTTCACGCTCTCACATTAGTATGCCAATTTTCCGTACCGCTCTCTATACATTTCTCATGGCGCTGACAAGGAGAACTTGTTTAATAAACACGGACTTCTTTAGTTGGTGATCATTTCCTCTATTCTCTGGACCTAAATGGTTTCATTCAAGGTTGATGATGTAGGGAGAAATTAGATGCTCGATTAAAGTGCTGGCGAGATTTTCCAGATTTAGAGAGCGAACCTCTAGGTGCCACATTTGACGTCATCTGTGGTCTACAACAAGACAGGCATGCGATAAAAAATAAATATGTTTGTCAAAAATTTGGATAAAAATATCGCCAATAAGAACTTTTTTCTCGAAACAGAGACATAATAAGAAATCCACGATTTTTGTTTCAATGACTGAAATGTCAAACAGGAAGCGAGATTAAATGACACATTTAATTCGGTAAAGTGCTCTTAATTAAAGATTGTTTGACAATTTCTTCTTCAGCTTGAAAAGCGTGAGCCTTGTGAGGCTGGATCGTACTGCGAACGAAGCTGCTCCCTGTCCAGCCCTAATTTCTTGGGTATTGTGGGCTTTTGTAGCAACGGACGCAAATGTTGCGCGTATGAAGGTAAATAAAAAGAACGTTCATCTAATAAAGAAGAAAAAACAACGTAATTTTCACTTGGTCACAAAGATGAAAAACATGAGTTATAGTTTTGCTTCTTTCTTGAGGGTGTTGCATTCCCCCAGCAATTTCGAATTTTATGAATAACCTTAAACAAAAAAATTTAAAACAAATCTACATGCACTGGCTTTACAAATACCAGGTGGTTGCAATTACAGGTGAGGAGCTGAGATCTTTTTCCAATCCCTATCTTTTTTTCTTGCTGCCCTCCGAACCGCTCCTTCGAGACTGAGCAAACGTACTAAGACAGACGTTTGCGTCACTTTTGCGCCAGAGAATTTATTCTTATTCTAACGTGTAACTAAATGAGCCTAAAAAAAAATATTATGTTATGTAATGAAAAGATGACACAAGGTGAAAACATACCGCAAAGGAACTCAGGGATAATTTGGATATATCAACAAATTAAGTTGAAATGCTAAATTAGCCACCGTAATGATTACAAAAGCTGACGTTTCGAGCGTTAGCCCTTCGTCGGAGCGAATAGAGGAATTGTGGGTTGTGTGTGCTTTTAAAGGCAGAAAATGGAGCTACGTTATTGGTGGGAGCATGGCAACGAGAAAAACATTAATAAATTAGTGGAATGAACTCAGGGATGGCCTAGAATGGACAAGATGGGAAACGAATTGCGAGTGACGCACCTGAAAAATTGAGGCTATGATTTTAACAAGATGCCTAAACCATGACGCGCCCTTTGAAGCATATGTTTATGTAAGCTCTCAATTGCCTTTTCCAGGAAGAACTGAGACAGATGCGAATACATTTATGAAATGATTTAGTCTCTTCATCACAGAGCTAGTGAGAGAACGATTTGCAAGTTTCTTAGAATGAAAGAAAAAAAAAGGGCTCTTCTCGTCGAGTTTCTCGTTAATATCAGCATGTATCCGTTGGATCAGAGCTGTTCCCTATAAAGCTATTACAAATTATGTTTATTGTAAGCAAAAACTGTAGTTACCAATGCCTATGTTCCTCTATTATTTGCAGGCTGATGCAAGTCCTTATGGTGAGGAAAGGATCCTACAACTTTACAAAGGATCAGAATTCCTAAAACCCAAATTATACTTTGCATGGGTCGTTTAAACAGTTCCAGTAAATGTTATTCCACAAAATAAAAATGGCTTACTGTGATTGGTTACCTCTCTCGTCTTCTGTTTAAAGACAGTTTCAAAATTGTGCGGTTATTAGTACTATCATTTTATTAATGTTATTTTTTTATCATTATCATTATTTTATGAAGCTTGCGATAACATAAGCCAACATACTTTTTCTCACCCCAAATTCGGAAAGAAATCTAGAAGCAGTTTCCGCAAACTCGTTACAAAGTGCGTTCTCTTGAGTCGTTGAGATCCATTCCCTTTCATGTTAGTTTTCCAATAAAATAAAGAAAATTCTCTTTAGTTGGTTCTCTTTCTAACATGTCTAAGTCTGCTTGACTTCTAGAACAGTTTTCAATCGAGTGTTGAAAACCCAAAACCGAAGAAATCCCAGCAGCCAATCAAAACAAAGTTTACATCGTCAGTAGCCAATGGGGACTCAAAGTGAAAACAAGCTTACTGCGCATGCTTGAAGCGCGGGAAAACGCAAATGATCAAGTTGCGATGTATCTTATTTTTGTATCTGGTCACCTTAACCTCTCGCGAGAGTCGTCGATCTAGTCTACGTTAACCCCTTTACTCTCAAAAGTGACCAGAAAGCACTTTCTCTTTACTGTGACACAACACTTTCTACCCAACCTCGTTCCCAGGGCCTTTTCTCTCAGTTGGGGGTGGGCGCGCCCCATCCTCAGCTAAGGGAAAAGGCCCAGGGAACGAGGTTGACTTTCTAGCCAGAATGCACAACGATATGAGAAAAAAAGAAAAATATCAAAGGTGCATTTTTCGATGATGTAATTCAGCGTCAAATTATGAGAAATGACACATCACCTGAGGGGGCGGGGGATTGGAAGATTTTGCTTTGTCACGTTCAAATTTGCCTGATTCCCCCACAAGGCCCTATAAGATTCTTGTGTTCCCCTTTTACTGGCAGTTAATTAGCAGTGAATTTTATATAGCCTCCCCTTAAATTGTGTTAACGACTTCTGATTCCCCTCCATTCCCCCTGAAAACCATGTGATGCCCCAAAAAATCTTCAACCCCTCCCCCGTGGCCATAAATAATGATTGGTCGTTTAATGGTAAAGAGCTTAAAAAATTACATCCTCGGAGACCCAGGGTAGGCATTTATAGATTATGTTAGCATAATTTTTGGCATAATTCGAGCAAACTGGCATAATCTCTGCCAAGTAGCAATGCTAGCATAATTTGCGCATTTTGATAATTATCAGATCATTTTTGATGCCATTATTTGATAATTTTTTGTCTCTAGTCCCAAGCACTTGGTGACCTTAATCGATATTTAAAGTTTTAGTTAAACTAGTAGCATTTGTAGTTCACTGTGAAGCACTGAGCCCGGGTCTAACCTGAACCACATGTTTATTTGAAATTCATTGTGGATTTGTTGCGTTTCTTTCCTGTAGACGAACGGCTTCTAGTTAAGAAATCTAGAAGCAATTTCCGCAAACTCGTTACAAAGTGCGTTCTCTTGAGTCGTTGTGACCCATTCCCTTTCATGTTAGTTTTCCAATGAAATAAAGAAAATTCTCTTTAGTTGGTTCTCTTTTTAACATGTCTAAGTCTGCTTGACTTCTAGAACAGTTTTCAATCGAGTGCGTCTCACTGAACAAATTTCCATCGCTTAACGTCAAATGTTTCTTGCACGTACATTTAAAAGAAACTACACCACACAAACGTAAAACAACGGTAGAAAATTCGCTTTGCTTTGTTATGTCTATCTTTTTCAGTAAATTTTCCATATAACCTCGCCTTAATGCATACTCGACCCAGTTTCCCCGGCTCACGTTCAAACATGGAGAACATGTGGTGTGCCTAATATTCGACAAGTCGTTACTGCTCATGCTTTGCCACCTTTTAATTCAGAGACAGCACTGCCAAGATCCTACGCTGGCCGAAAAAGCTCATTCTCGCATGCTGGACGGCAAGATTATCAACGACTAGAACGTCCCCATTTTGCCAGCGAAAAGCTACTGCGCATGCCCAAGTAACGGCTCTTATGTGCTGAAGAACTGCGGGCTCAATTTCGCTTCCATCACCATAGTAGGTCTGGTAGGCATACTGATGACTGGGTAAATTGCAGTTTTTAAACCTGAAAAAAGAGGAATTGTTTTTGAAAAAGAAAGAATATAATATATTTTTCCTTGGTCGCAATTATTGTGAATAACGAAAAATAAAGCCTTTTAATTAACGTTAATACAAAAATATGAAGAAATTTATGAAAATGTGTGGCATTCCAGAGAGCAAGTCTTCAGCATTATGCGAGCGCAATCAGTAGAGGCCTAATTGTGACTTCACTTTGACACGAAATCCCTGTTTCCGTTCCTGTTTCCTATATTTTGTAATGTTATTTGCCGTTTTCGGAACGGCAAACAACATATTACAAAATATAGGATACAAAGATGACATCAGAAGTGAAAAGCATTACCCACCTTGGCATTTCTTGCAAGTGTGAAGTATGATGGGATTGAATCTGGTTAAACCACACTGTCTCCCCAGTCTCCGGATGTTTGAGTAAGGCCGGTAACACTTGCCAGTAAACCAGAGCTCCAGAAGGCTCCCATTTAAAATCAAAACCATTTTGCTGTAAGAAACGTTCTGCAGTCTTGAAGAAAAATAAAATATAATTTTTGTGTTAATTTTTCCAATGAAGCGTCGCCTTTAGTTGGAAAAAACCAATGTAACTCGTTACAAACCTTCGTGTCCTCAGTCATAAAAACATCTTGCCATGGAAGGTAGGCACCAGGCCCTCGCGAAGGAGCATAACGCACATAGCGAACCCTCTTTTTGTCGAAATCTTTGACAATTTTAGGATCTAAGCGTGATAGTATATCCCTACTTCTTACGAGCGGCGTCTCTCCTCCACAATCCTTTCCTGGCTCTTGCTGGCAAAAAAACAAAAGCTGTGAAGACAGAAATCAACAGAAAGTGTGAAGACGCTAGAAGCTAGAAGCGATCAGGGTCGTTGTATGGTTACTCTTGCATCCGATTGGAATGCTACATCTCCTTCACTTTTGTTCCCCTGCATTAATTTAACTGTTGTGAAGAATCATAGTGGGAGATGAATCTGATGATTTTTGCCTGTTTTGGCTGGTTATTTGATAATTGTCTTTTCTGTGATGGATCGTGTGGGTTACTTTATTATGGATTCTTTTAAAATTGTTTAGGTTTGACTGATTTTTCTGTATTCCTTGTATGGATTACAGAGATTATCGATAGAATATCTTAGGGCATGTATTAGAAAAACATTTAAGCAGAAAAAGTAGCGGTAGCTGCCGGCCGCAGATGGTACGAATGAAGAAGAAAAGTATAAAATCATAAAAGAAGAGTTGGTGCTTCCCCTTGGAGTAAGTTGCTCTAAAGTTAGTTTCCCCGATAATACGTCGTAACATACTGAAGTTTTGTGCGCGAGAACGTGGACCCACAACAATCCCGCCTAAATTTTGCAACCAGGAGGATCATAGCCTGCGTAGTGGCCCTAGAGGGAGAGGGGAAGAGGGTGGGGAGCCGAGCGGAGCGAGGCTTGGGGAAGGGACAGGAGGGCGAGCGGAGCGAGGCTTGGGGAGAAGAATAGGAAGTGCCTGCAAGCGACCCCGTGGATTCTTCCGATCTCTCATGGACAAAGAATTCTCATCGGTCGAGATCAAATAACTGTCACTCTGCCGTAAACGTGATAAGAAACAGGCATCCTAGAGAAACGCGAAACCGATCTGAAAAACGAACAGCGCCAAGCTTTGGAACAGCTCTACGTCAAAAAGAAGGATCTTGTAGCTATTTCGCCGACTGGGTTTGGAAAAAGTTTAATTTTTCAAGCTCTAGTGTTGCTTGCGCGGTTCGAGGCCAACGACGATAAACGGCCCGTTGTGTTGGTTATGACTCTACTTACAAGCATCATACAGGATCAAATACTCGAACTTTAATCTCTTGGTTTCACTGGTTGTAGTCTAAACGAAGTTCTCGATCATTTGTATGTTTGGATTCATTATCACAAGTTGATCTGGTATACGCTTCGGCCGAGAGTGCAATAGATGAACGTTTCACAAACTTCCTTAAAGATAAAGATGAGGGATTTGTGTCTCTGATAGTTGATGAAATCACACACGATTCAAACTTGGACTGGCCTGAAGTAAGAAAAAGTAAAATTCGAATACTTGATGAGCATATGATCAATACGAGCGAAATTCCGAGCCGCTCGCGAAGCAACTTTTGTGTTCTGTTTACTAAATAACACTTACGACCAATATATTGAATTAGAGCTCGAGTTCTCAACCAAAGATGGACATGAAGCCTTTTCCAAGAGTTCATAAAACTTGCAAAAATTGTTCACTTTTCGGGCACGGGTAAGGCAAACAATTTGGCAGAGATTTGGCTGTTTTGCGAAGTAAAATCCATGAACTCGAAGGCGATCCGCAATAACATATTGGAATTCTTCTCTCTGACTTGCTTTAAAGATATTAATAAAGCTTTTGAACCCAGTTCCTAACTTGATTCTTAACTTATCTCCACAAAAGCGGCAAATTGACGGAATATCTATATTAGGCTTTCTACCCCTCTTAGGTTTTTCTTTGAAATTTTCCTTGTCGTCCGACATTTTCATTCACGTGCGGGCAGTGTTTTGACAGTTTGTATGGGTCAGTGCTCTGCTATTTTTAGTATTTTCCATGCTTCACTGGCGCACGACTTAAAATGGCGCTTCGTGATTGGATAGTTTTGGCAGTTGTTGATTGACACTCTAAACACGATACGCATAATTAATTGGTGGGAGTTTCGAAGAATATGAAGGTAGATCCTGGACAAAATGTTCGATTCGTCGTTTCGTTTTGTCTAGTCGTTGTTTTCGAGTTCGACTCGTCGAACTTTCAGTTCGTTTCGTCGTATTGTCAGTTCGATTCGTCGGCTGGCCTCTTCGATTCGTCGTTTTACGATTCCGACTCGTCATCGACCACATCGGTTCGTCGTTTTGTCGTTTCGTCATGGCGTTTCGTCGTTTCGTTATGTCGTTTCGTTATGTCGTTTCGTTATGTCGTTTCGACTTGTCCACTCAGCAGGAGCTATAACTCAACTTAAATTACATGAAGAGTTACTTTATTTCATACACTCTTACATAAAATCATTAATGTGGTATCTATAATTTGCCCTCTGCCGAAGGAAATAGATCCTTAGAATAGCTATTTAGTCTGCAGAAGCGTCCGAGTTATTTAGAAAAACGTATTTTCAGCCAAAAGTTAATGAATCACTTGGGCGAGCACCCTGGAGTAATTATCGCGGGAGTCTATCTTTTTGTGGAGGGTAGGAGGGTCAAGGGTTTCTTGTTGAGGGTCGAGGGTAACTTTTT